CAGATGCTGTCAGGCAAAATATAAAGGGCCTTTCACTTTAACAGATATTTAGCATAATGGTTGTCATTGTGATCAGTGTTTGTTTGCTTTTTCCTCAGATTGTGACTTATATTTACATGTATTCAAATATACACACTTATGAGTTGAAGTGGGCTAGAGTCTCTAAGTGTGGACCATCGGTGCATGTCACTGCAACTCTGCACTTGTTTCCTATCATTTAGTAACTAATAGCTGAATGATATGAATCAAAAGAAGCACTCAGACATGTTTGAGATTTTGGCTCAGAAATGTAGTAAGGGTTGTCTGAAAAAGCAGAAAATCCTTGTCTTCTGAAGGCAAGATTACACCTTCTGCATCGGAGTAGCTGAGTAGGTCTATGTGACACGTATTTTTCTGACTTGCTCATGACTGTAATCACCAGAGCCCAAACTGTGTCCGTTTTTAAATGCAAGAACTTTAGGTTTCAAGCTTCTTATTTAGTAACCACTGAATATATTATCCCTGAAACTAGAATTAGGCTTGCATTACTGCTTATTTACAAAGAGAAAGGTTGTTGTGTAACAGTAGGTTACAGAAGCACACTATGCGCTAGCCCCCATGTGAAAAAACTAAAGAAAAAGGCATGCACTCTCCTTCAAACATCCCCACTGTATGTCCACTTACACTGTATATGCAGCCCTGAAGAACACATTTCTGCCATAAGTATCTCGGACATAATGCTTTATATTTTGTATTTGCAACACAACATAACAAATGCCTACAGATCTAACATGTGCATCTAAACGGGGCCTCTTGCACGTATATCAACATTGATTACTGCTCCACGGAAACGTCCTTGCTGTACCTCACAGGCTAATTGACACATCAAGCCAAGAATACAAAACCATTTTAAAGCAAGATTCTGTAATACTCATCTTATCAATAGCAAGCTGAGATATGATGGCAAATCGTTTTTAGAGAAAAACATTTATCCAAATGATATTTGATCAAAAAGAGGCCTATTTCCTTTCATCAATGTGCACCAAGCAATTCACTTCAGACCCAAGAGTCAGAGGGCTCAACACACTGCTGAAGAGTGTGAAGGAGCTGCACAGTCAGTCACTGGTGAAGCCTTGAACTGCACTGAGCAAAGAGTCAAGGAAGACATTAGAGGTGATGTGGTAAACATATTTCAGCAAGGGGCTCCTGGGATACATGATGAGTGAGTAGAGGAGTATATCTTCTTGGTAAATAAGTACTCTATCTGTATTTTTTTATTTTTGTTTTACTTTTATGTATGCACCATGACATCAAGTCAAATTCCTCGTACGTCTCAACCTACCTGGTAATAAACCTGTTTCTGATTCTGATTGATGGCACTTCAAGGAAGGAAGAGTATATATAGATACAGTACACATGTGGAATACATACATACTGTTGATGTCAACTGTTTTTACTAAGACTTTGTATTTATTTACAATGTATTTGTGTGTCTGCACAGTAAAATGATGGAGTTTCACATACTAAAATAATCATGGCATGAGGCATAAACCAGCCACACTTTATAAAACATGTGTATATTCCAATTATCTGCAGACATCAGCTATTACCAGTAAATGGAACAATATGGCAACAAAAAAAACGGCCCTTCATAATGGTACATTTGCATTTACCAAATATTCAGCTCAGAAGGACATTACATCATCTCACGGTGAAGCTTAGCACATATTTTTAAATGATGAAAACAAACTGTTTTGATGTTGTTCCAAAGCCTTAAGACGGATCAGCGGGGTATCAAGAGGCATCTGATGAGTTGTTGACCGTCTGATACTAATAAGGCACCTCTGACAGCGACTTTAGGGAGGCACACACAGAGCATTCCTTAAATATGATTGGCACTGCAGGGCTGTGGTTTTGTTCACATAACAATACAGATTACTTTATTATAAGATCATACATCTGTAGCATAGAAGCTCAGTAAGCTAACTGACATGGACATCACTCTATTCTGCTAGGAGATTAACTGTATTGTCTAAAGTTGGGGAAAGACATTAATTCATGACAGAATCATGATTCTTATCTGAATGGATACGCAACAAATGTCTTCCAAATAACATAGACATTGCTACTGATGCAACATTAATGTGTGGTTTTATTAAAAAGATTCCACAAAATATCAGTTTATTTTACGTGAAATGTATTTTTAAAATTGGCAAGTAAATATAACCTTTAGTCTTAAATTTGCCACTATAATTTGACATGATTGCAATCAGTTGATATACATGATTTGAATATGCAAACTCCTACGTTTTAAACTCACACACACCTGCTGTTATGCCATCATTTGCCACACCGAAGTTAACTGGAACAGATCTTGAAATAAGCACCCCACGTACTGAATCCAAAATCGATTTTGATTCAAATCCATCATTACCAAAAGATTCATATGCTTTGTGTTTTCTCTCTCAACCTTTTTGGAATCCAGTCATTGAGACAAGTTATATTATTATCATCCAAAATGTGAGATATCTGAAACTAAGATTTTCAGTGACTTCACCATCATCCATGTTCATGTAGAAAATAATGTAAAGATAACAAGTAACAATACAAATAGTGAATAGTTGTATCTGTGTTAGTGAAGTTATTTTGAAAAGGTTTTTCAATAATGATTGAAAAATCTCCTCAAGGTGTTGTTATGTTACCTTACTTTGTGTAACCTTGAAAGTCATGCCATCAGTTAGCTGTCCTCTACTCTACGCTGACAGTCTTTTCACCTCTCCCTGCATTACTGCTGCTGCACTGGGCGAAACTAATCTCAGACTGTTTAGCGGTGATTGTGGCGCCATTATCTGTGATGAGACAAGGCTTAATTCTGCCATCAGTTCCGTGCCTGCATGAAAGTGCTTTGACAGATTATTTTGTCATGTTTGCAGCTATTCACAGGTGATTCTACCCTCTATGGTGATTATTTCATTTATCATGTGACACAAATTTAAAAATAATTTTGTCACAGCGTCCAGCCTGGTGTGTGAAATTGCACATTATAGTTTTGAAAGGCACAACAAATATGAAGGTTATTATTATAATTATTATTGATGTGCTTGCCAACCTCTTTAAATAACATGGGTTTGAGTGTCTTGTTTGCGTGTCATTGGTGCAGAGCTTGATACTGTACCTATGATAACATGCGCCCCCAGCCTGGCCATGTGGCGGACTACCTCATAGCCGATTCCCCTGCCTCCTCCTGTCACTATGGCAACCTTGCCATCTTGTCTGGGCATCACTGGCAGAAGCAGAAGAGGACACGCAGATATCAGTAGGAATGTCATTTGATAAGGACGCTGCTTCAAGACAGGCCACTATTTCACAATATGAGGAGTCCTTGTAGTAAGACTTTTAGATGGTCTGTAAATCTCAGATGGACTTTATTTGCGTTTTTACATTCTATGGCGCAATTTTCCTTCACTTTCCCAAATAACTTTGTGTCTTAAAGTTTCACTGTGGTACTTAAACTCTGTTTTTGTAATGCAAATTACAGTAAGCTTTAAATGAGACACATTCTTTTTTTCAGGCCATGTGCAGACAATACCTAAACAAGTTTGTTTTTGTTCATGGTCGTCATCAGATACGGATTTTCGTGTGATGATGAGCATGGATAAATAAAGCTTTTTTTGCATTTTTTGCAAATGTACGCTAATCAACTTTGAACCAAAGTTGATAGTAATTTATATAAATCAAAACACAAGTGATTTGTTGTGCATGTCTTACTTCTGACCCAGCGTAAATAAATAAATATCTAATTAAAACAACACAAATAGTTTCCAATTACATTCAAACTGATTGAACTTTTCTTTTAGCAATATCTACTGTATTTCATTGGTTAATAATCAGTTGTGTAGGCCTACTGTCAGTCAAGCGTTTTCATCTACCTGTAGCAAAGACACGTTCTGTATCTGTTTACAAAACTTTGTTGTAAAAAGTGGAGATTAAACCAATATCAATTTGCGACAAATGCAAATATTTTAAAATACATTATGTGAGAAAAGTATGTACTGTTAAGCTCTTCTGGTGAATTCGGCAAACATAACAAACAAACAAGACAACATTTCATTTGACTCATGTTGCTACTTCTCTCCAACTAATGTTAGCTAACGTTAACATTGCTAACATTACGTTAACGTTAGCCTCCTGCACGCTGGGTGTTTCAATTCATTCATGTAATATTTAAATAACAAAGCCAGTCTCTAACGTCCATGACTCTGGGACTAAAGGTTGCCCCGTTACGGAGTGTGACACTATTCAGCGGAAGTGCACCACAACAACGTATCGAGAGTTAAACGCACCTGGCAGCCTGAAAGGTCTGATGAGCAGCTGAACCAGCAGGACCTTCAAAGCAAGCAGGTAAAGTTTGATAATTGGTAGAAGATAACACCGGATAGCGGATAACATCTCTGCCTGGAGCTGTCACTGGGTGAGCAGTGCAGTGGAGGAACAGCTCCGGGTAGAAAGAGCAGTTCCGTCTATGGGATACGTTCCAATATGAAGTCGTCCATCCTCGCTTCCCTCCTTGTCGACAGACACATAGTGGACAACGTTATTGTAATAATACCAACTCATACTGAATTTGAAAAGGGCGTTCTACTTGACTAATAGCTCTTACAGCCCAGTAACTGATTGGTTGACCTTGAAAGAAAATGCCCCCCCCCCCCCGCAGCTATCCATCACTTATCTATAGGGGAGGTGGGATAAGTGTTTGATTGAGGGGCCTCTTTACTGCCGCTTTGCTGCCTGATGTGCCGTATGATCCTTCTCTTTAGATCCACCCAGCATATTGCTCCCTTCAGCTAACTGACTATCTCATTAACTGCTGCCAAAGAGGTCACAAATGACAGAAGCAAAAGAGGCATGACACCCTAGTTTGATCCGTAATATCCCAAGATAGGCTTTAGGCGCAGCATTACAGCTCCTGTCTGCAGCCCTTCGCCTGCATTGTGTCGGACTGGTGGATGTTTTATGATTCCCTCTCCTGGGATCACTTACGTCCATCACACCAGTCTACTTTTGTCAGAGGCTAGTCAGGCTGCTGTGATATAATAGATAGATAGAACTTCAGCTGTGAATAATATATTTTCTTTCTGATATCTGATCCTTAGTTTTCAAATAGACTATACATTTTCTTAAGTTTAGTAGCCTGAAGATGCAATCAAATAAATATGTTCAGCATCATAAGAGTGTCGATTACAGCTTTAATTACCACTTCCAGAGATACTGACACTGCATGCCAAACTATACCACTGAGAACATTTTTAATGGGCTTTTAAGATTTAAATGTAAAGATGAAATATTACATAAGTCATTGATTTTATCTTTTGAGGTGTACCATGTTTTCTGCATCCAAGTTTGTCATCTCTACCTCATCCTCAGAGCTTTGGGGAACAGTGATTTGTTGCTGTTTTAGCCCTAGAGTGATCACATGTTGCCAAGATGCTAAAAGCCCGTGAATACATGCAAATGTTTTCCTTTCATATGAGCATCCTTTAAAATGTATGCTTAATGTTCGGGTTTCTAAAATTAGTGGCAATCATTCAACCACCTCTCTTTGAGCGAGGCATATCCTTCCACGAAGCTCAGCTGAAATTAGTAACATTAATGCCTCAATGTGTGTAATTGAGGACTGTGAAGCGACCAGGGATTCACTACAAGATTCACCTTCCCTTTCAGAAATGTTAAAATGTAATGACCTGTTGTTAGTTTAATATGTAAGTCCTGTGTGAGAGTGAAAGCTGATTAAGGGTTATCACTGAATCTACTTTATCATTTAAAAGAATGGATTTGCTTGCCACAAAAGCTTAATTTGGTACAGTCAGATGGCTGAGAGGGCCACTCTACATTTTTGAACAGTCTTGTATTCCTTGAGGCTGTGAAAAGGGACTCTATATAATGGAGGATATTTGGTATGAATGGGTTGCAAAAAAATTGAATGTGCAAAAAAAAAAAACATACTTCTGAGCAACACTTCAATAAGAATAGAATAAATTACCAGCCACTGATTAAAGAAATTGGATGCTTAAAATCAAAATGTGTGCAGAATTGAAAAGAAACAGGTTCTGGTTGTTGAATCGATTGTAGTAGCTTTTTGTGAGTTGACATAATTGCAACTGATTGTTAAAAGTGAATGAATTAAACCAAATCGTATTGTGGCAGACTGTGATATCAGCAATAAGATTTTCACCCAGTGAATCTGCATCATATTGTTTTGTGATGAAAATTGGGATTCATATCCCCAAAATGTGAACGGGCAGCCTACTGCTGTGATGGATTGTGCTTGGCTTGCAGGGCAGGAGCCAGCTGAATTATCTATGGCACTCAAAGTAGGCCAACCAAACTCTGCAAGTATTCTTTTCCACCAAATTACTATCATTTATGTTAAAGACAGGTCTGGAGCATTCACAATCACGTCCCTTCTTTTCTGTTGGCGGGGAAATCATTAGCATTAGTTTGTGCCTTGCCTGCTTTCCAGTCAGGCCAAAAGCAGCAGCGCTGATATGCACTCGGCCCCAGCTATTAAAGTCTGCTTTGAAGGAAGTTAAATGAACAGCAACATAAAGTGACAGTGTCATCACCACTGCCCCGATGGAGGCTGAGCAAGCTGTGTGGGTATTTTAAAATGTGTATTTGTAGCTGTTAATGCAAGCTAAGAGGACGTGTGTGTGTTTGTGTGTGCGTGCAAGTGTTTGTTCTGCTGCAGCCTGAGAGATTGTGGGTCAGCGAGGCGAGATGGCCAGCTATTGTTTAAAGGAAATCGCATCTCACGCATGACTATGGGATGATTATTTGGGATGATGGGTTATCAGAAAGACAGCCCTTTACACACATAAACACACACACAAATGAAGATGTGCTGGGAACAGAAAATGACAGCAGGGTGTGTGATGTAAATGACATGTGAGCAGCATCCAAATAGCTTCAAACAACAGTCACCTAGTCCTATATGACAACCACTGGCTGGCTGTCTTATTTAGAAAATCTGGTTTGACAGCAACTATGAGATCCCTGTGTGTGTGTGTGTGTGTGTGTGTGTGTGTGTGTGTGTGTGTGTGTGTGTGTGTGTGTGTGTGTGTGTGTGTGTTGTGTGTGTGTGTGTGTGTGTGGTGTGTGTGTGTGTGGTCGTGTGTGTGTGTGTTGTGTGTGTGTGTGTGTGTGTGTGTGTGTGTGTTCGTGTGTGTGTGTGTGTGTGTGTGTGTGTGTGTGTGTGTGTGTGTGTGTGTGTTGTGTGTGTGTGTGTGTGTGTGTGTTGTGTGTGTTCCTGCCAGTTAAAATGTAATCTTTATTTCATGTTTCTCATAGATGTATTCCTTGTGAGAAAATAAGTTGCAGGATGTTGGATATTTTTAGCAGAAAATGCAAGAAACAGTTTCTAAATAGGATTGTTTTGACACACTGTTTTTTAGCACTTTGCTTCGCGTTTGTTTTCGTTACTGATCAGCCCAGAGGGGATGGCAGGTAAGGTGTCATATTGTGAAGAAAGGGGATTTTCCGGATGTATCATGGCGTATTTGGGCTCCAGAGTGCAACAGCTTGTGTGAATTGATCCGGATGTTTTCTCCCGGTTTGAGATGAGACGTCTCCCTTCTCTGAGAGGCAGATAATCAAGATGGACTTGAAGCTCAGAGACTGCACCAGAGCTGCAGGATATATGCACCAAATGAGACAGCATGTGAGCATTGTTTTTGCAACATCAAGCATATGGCTGTGTTTCCGACAGCTTTCTGTCTTTATTAGCTGCTTTATCAAAATATACTTTACATTCAAAACACATTTCATGCAGTTAAACCAGTTCCATGTCTTTTTCATTCTCTCTCGCTGATAAGGCTTAACTGGAAAACTACTGTAATTGAGCCATAATGAATTTACAGTTATGATTTGTGTCAAAGTTCAAACATTACTGCTTGAAAATTGTCTATTACATTTTTAGGCCTATTTTGTTTTATTTTGACCACCACCACTACTGTAGCTCGCTCTAATCGTCAGTCCATGGACATTTCTCTACTCTTTGGTGGCCGAAGACTTTGACCTCCTAGACTAAAATGTGCATAGAGGTCAAGTGGCAGTGGCTCAGTCAGTAGGGGCTTGGACTGTGAGCGGACGTGCGTGACTTTGGTCTGAGGAGGAAATAAGTGAATTGTTTGTTTTGTGGATATCTTTTGTTTCGTCAAACTTATAGTTGTGTTTTTTGTTGTTGTTCTGAGTCACCCCCAAACAGCCTTGCTGGCTGGGGGTTTCCCCTGACCTGTGTGTTTTTTTTCTTCGATCGGACGGATAAACTGGCAAAGAAAACGGGAATGGAATTATCAACTGCGTCACGGATCACGGACATTGACAAATTACAGCAGAGTACGGAGAAAGACGGGACATCAGTGAATGAAAAAGGAATGGAAAATGACAACGGAAATGCGAATGGACAAAATGAAAAAACAGGAGTGGGAAAACAAAAGGAGGTGAGAGAACTGTTTGAGTTGAATGTGGAGGAGGAAAAATATAAAAAGGAGCTTACAGTTGTGGTGACGGTGGAGAGTGGAAAAGCAGTAACTGTTATGGATTTGCTAAAAGGAGTTAAAAAAGAATGCGGAATTGTGATGGGGTGTCGGGTGAAAGGAAATGGGCTATATGAAGTGACAATGGCTGAAGAAAAAGGAAAAAATAAACTGTTGGATGGAATACGAATAAATGGGGCTTTGGTGCGGGGCAGAGACTGCATGACAAAAGAGCTCACGGTGTCATTCTTAAATATACCTTCGTATATATTGGACAGTTCAATTAAAGGCAGATTGGCAATGTGGGGGGTTCTGCCTGTCTCGGCAATAAAGAGAAGAATGTGGCCTGGCACTGATGTGGTTGATGGGACGAGGTTTTTGAGAGTGGAGTTCAACAAGGAAGTGCGGTCACTTCCTTACTCCACAAGGTTCGAGACTCTAGAGGGGCCGGAATACTTTAGGGTGATTCATGACAAGCAAGTACCGGTCTGCAGGATGTGCATAAGGCCAGGGCATTTATACAGAGAATGCCCTGAGTTTAAATGCCATAAATGTGCGAAAACAGGGACACTATGCCCGGGACTGTGTGACTCGGGAGGAGGGGGCGAGCGGAGCCAGGGGGAGAGAAAGTGCACAGGCGGAAAATAAAGTGGAGAATGGAATGGAGGAAGAGGAAGGTGGAAGTCAGGAAGAAAGTGAAGAAGAGGATATACATGATAAGGCTGGGAGCAGGATGAACGAGGAAGCTGTGGCTGCTGTCGCGGCGTTGTTTGTGGCGGCTGATGCAAAGAGGGCAGCTGATGAGGCTGCCATGGGAGGTGGAGGAGATGGAGCGAGGAAGAAGGGGAAAGCAGACGAAGGGAACATGTGTAGTAGCAAAGCAAATACTGCTGCTGTTCCGGCTGCTGTGGACGATGGACAGACTGCGAGGAGTGGTGAAGGTTTGGCTGAGACTGAAGCAGAGGCTGTGGTGGATGTTATTCTGGGGGCAGAAACTGATACCGAGGCTGAAGCGGACGTTGAAGGTGAACC